AGGATCCCAAGGCTAAACTACTTCTAGGAATATCAGTATAGTACACTGGTATGCACCGACCAAGTACTATTAAGATCTCCTCGATCTATAAGACCTTTCAGTCAAGGCAAAGATCTACTCGATCTGTTAGACCTTTCGGTTCAAAACCTTTTGGTTAAAACTTTTCGGTTCAGATAAAGATCTCCTCAATCTGTTAAAACCTTTCGGTTCAAAAATCTTTCGATTCAAAAACCTTTCGGTTCAGATAATGATCTTTCAATCTGTAAAACCTTTCGGTTCAAAGAAAGATCTTTCGATCTGTAAAATCTTTCGGTTCATAGGTATGTTTCTTTCGGGCACAAACTAAAGCTTCCATGCTTTCAGACTCTGCAGTAGCAGCGCAACAACACAAAACACTTGTGTGTGTTTTGTATCTATTTTTATCTTGTGTGTCCAAGAGCTCCCTAAGAGACATTATATATAGGCTTCTAAGACCAGCTCAAAGGTCACCCACATTTAATTTGATTGTTACAAACATAATGGTAATTATGACAATTATAATTGTAATGACAAATAATATAAATACTGTAATTGCTGCATGCATTAACGCCAGAACGCAAGGGTCGCATTCAGTCTCGTGCGAATGTGAGGGTCGCATTTCTTCTTGTGAATGCGAGGGTCGCACCCTCATGTGAACACGAGGCTCATCCGCATGCTGCTAGGCAATTCTTCGTTGCAGTCTGTGAGGTAGCCTGCGTGGCAGCCAACGTGGCACCAAAGGGCACTACCTAGTCCTGATGTCTCCGTGCAAAGTACAAAGTAAGCCTAACAAAGCGTCACTTAGCATCTCAGTCCGATTAGCCCCGATCCTCGACCCATTAGCACACAGCTCACGACCCACTAGCCCACGAGCCCACGACGACCCACTAGAACTTATGAGAGATTAATTAAATAAAAATAATTCTTAGCTTGTCGTTGTCAAACCTTGAACACAGGACTTTTGAGATATCAAAACTTTAACTTTTCGCTACGCTACTAAGGATTTCTAAAAAATACCAGTAGTTAATAAATACATAGTTTAAAAACTTATTTTTGGAAAACGGTTTTGACCAAAAAAATATCCAACATATTTTAAAACCCTTAAACTATTTTATTTTCTTTCTAATTTCGTAGCAATGCAGGGAACATTTTTAAGGGGACTTTTCTGGCTGAGGGAGAGGTCGATTTCAAGCACTCACACTATTTGGAGGACTTAACCATTCTAAGAAAGTCTCCGCTCCATTTTAATTCTAAGAAGACCAAAAGGATATTTCAACCTCGGACTGTTGAGCGAGAACAGAGACGTACTATAGTGCCGCTCATTGATTCTGCATACCTTTTAAGTATTATCTGTGAGAAGGTTAAATTGCATCCCCTCCTCTCTAGTTTCTTTTTGTGAGGTTAAACCAAAGGTTTTATCATTTGTCATTAGAAGGTACCATGTTTGGTAGTCATCTTTAATTAGTTTACCAATAATATACTTCATATGACATTTCAAATCTAGCTAGTTCTTTTTGTTTTTAGCGTAGTGTCACGGACTTAGTCTTTTATAAACTCACATGTGGCATTAGCAAGTCTAACACTAATAACACATTAAGTTCAACCTCAGTGGCACTCACACAAAAGCAAATTAACTAGCTAAACAAAAGATAGATGAGGGTAAAGAAATGTTGTATTGTACTCACAAATGATTACTTTAGAGGGATAGTTTGGCAAGTGAAGGTCCTCCCCCACTTAAAGGCCTCAACCCTCCATCATGAGAATTCTCTAGAACATTTATACATTTCTCATAATTTTATGTTTCTCTAGATTATTCTACAATACTCAATTACATTCTAGCAATCTCCACATTATTCTAGAACATTCTACTATGTTCTAGAGGATTCTACATATTCCTAAATGTTCCAGTAGCTTCTAGAACATTCTAGACACATCTAGAACGCTGTAGATTATTTTAAAAAAATATATAATTACCTCATCATTGTGTCTACATGGCAAAAATCATGGTCTTTAGGCGGGATTAAACAGTTGTCAACTGTTAAATTTCATTAATTACCAAATGATACATACAACAAAATTCAAAGAAGCAAAGAAGAGAAGAACAAGATTAAACAAGTAGCAACTATGGAATACAAGTTGAGCACCATGTCCTTCAAAAAGTTCAACCTTGATTAAGAGTGTGCTTCACCAAATATTTTTAACTATAAATGCTTACCACCAGAGATGAAGTACATATCATACTCCCTTTAAAAGAAGGAGTTGTGAAAAAACTTTCCAAGGATTATATTACCCTAATTTTTTAATATTACATTCTATTACTAACTAAACTAAATTAATTATTATCGTTAATTAATTATACTATATATCACTTCACGTTTGTACAATATTATTGTAAAGCTCTACATCATATTAATTATTAGTAATTATAATAAAATATTAATAGATAATTGTATATTAATAAAATATATATGAAAAGAGTAGAAAACATAGAATTATCTTAAAATTATACAATGACACTCTTATAAGAGAATTACAAAGAGTATTCTAATGTTTAGGTAACAGGACAGAAGGTACAAACATAAAATTTTAGAAAACATTAAGATATTTAAGTGTAGCAAGATACAAGTGAGGGTATATAAGTATAATTTTGGTAAACTATAATTTATTTAAGTTCAGTTAAGCCTTTAAAAAAATTAAACCTTTGTTATCTAACAACAATAGTATATAATTCTATTGATAAATAACATTCATCATACAATATGAGGCCAGATGCTTAACTTATCTACTCTTCTATACTTAAAGAAGGATCCAAAGATTTATTGTTCATGTTACAGTAAATAACACAGTAAATTACATAGCATGAATAGTAAATCTTTAGGTCATCCTTTAAGTATGCAGAGTAAATTTACTGTTCATGCTATAATAATTTACTGTATCATGAATAGTATCATTTTATGTATAGAGCAGCAAATATGATTTCTAATTTTAAGTATACAATAATCAAATCAAATGTACTAAACCTTAGAGGGAGGTAGGTTCAAAATGCAATGCTTAAAAAAAGTACCATATTTAGAATAAGTCTCAAGATTTTGAATTATTTTCTAAAATTATATACTTCGTTTCGAAAACTTTAGAATAGGCTTTCGAAGGACTACTACAAGGTGATATTAGATAAATATTAAACAAATAAAATCCATGATATAAGATTGCATAAATGGGGAATATGTGTTAATACTAGGCATCATATGAGATAATATTCATACATAACATAATATTGTAATATGTAATCTAACATATTAATGAATTTTAAGCATAATAATTTGCATTGAGATATATGCTTAAGAGTTTGGAGAACCGAGAATGCTGAGATTTTGGAGAAGAATTGCGGTTTTTGTGGGTTTTGGGGGTTTCGATTTTGTTTCCCAAACACGATTCAAAACTAAGCCCACAATCAAATTAAAAATAACACGATTATTTCGATATCTTCAAAGGGATATATCGGTCATATTTTTTATAGCAGTTGATATATCAAAAAATCACCAAATAAAAAAACAATATAAAATTTTATTAAGATAAGGTCTTTAACCCGATATATCGGCCGATATAGCAATATACAAACTAATGTTTAATACAATGCCTATAAGAGCAAATATGTGAAAATTCTTTAGATATTAGTTCCTTGATTTTTTAAGTATCTAATAATTCTATGTTATTCCCTCAAAATTTTAAAATCGCTAATAATTTTAGGGACCAATATTAAATTATTAAAATTTTAAGGGACAAATTATAAATAAGTCATATTTAAAAGAAGAGTTAATTTTTTTAAAAACCGTCTCAACTATGGGGATTGTTGACATGCGCCCCATAGTTGAGTGAGAGTTTTCAAAAATCAACCTTTAACCAAAAGCATAACTTAAGGCATATATGCCATCAATTTTAGAAGAGTGGAGTCTATAGCAAGACCATTACTCAATGAATTGATTTGGGTTATTTGTCCTTAAATTTATCCTATACATTAACTCTGAAAATCTTTTGCTATAAAAATCTCTAAGAGAAACTTAATCTTTATTTGGGATGAGTATGTGATCCTTCTAATTCCCCTTGTCTTTCATGATTTATATAAATTATTAGACAAAGTAAATTAAGTTGTCATTTTATATTACTCACCTTCTCATAAGTTTTCGAAGCTCATAGCTCGGATATGAGTATTGTTACGGAAACTGTATTCTTTTAATTCCTTAACATAATTTTTTGGATATTGTTTGACATTGGATGGATATGAATTATTTTGTTAAAATACAATCAATATGAGTGCATAATATGTATAAATCATTCTCAAAGTATATTTTATAATTTTTAAAAATTAGAGAGTAATCATTTTGATAGATAAATTAATAATTGTTGAGATGTAAAAAGAGTGTAATATCATATTTTGGAATTGATCACAAAGTTTATGTTTTCGTTCTTGATTGAATTTGCACATTCTAACTTAGAAAATTTTAGAAAAAAATTCTTGAATATATATAATACTCAATTGACGGATAAACAATAGGTGGAAGTGATTTTTTTTTTTATAATTAAACAAAATCCTTGACGATTGGATAAAACCTACTATTTTTTTTTTATGAATTCAAGAATTTATTTTCTTCATTAATAATAATAGTTTTTTTTTTCATATTGGCTCCTTATATCATTAATATTTTAAAATTATACATTCAAATTACTAATTAATCTTAAATCAATAATATTTTAAGGCTTTAAATATCACTATTTCTCTGAAAAACAAAATGTTAAATCTAACTTAATTTTACACATGAAAATATAAAAAGTTAATATATTATAATACTTATAAACTTTTTTATAACCATGTTATAGTAAATAAATAAGCTTAAAGTAAATAATTAAAATATTTGACCACGTGCACTTGCATTTTCCACCTAGTCTGATTAAAAAAAGCAGCATGCTGCTGTTTGTAAGAACCATATTTAACTATTGCCCAATTCATCATAATAACATCAAACTTTTACTGTTGAACAAGCATTTTGTTACATGGGGTGGCTCCGAAACGAAAGCCAATCTTTCAAAGAAAAATCAATCCAATATGTACTACAGCTAAAAACAAAAAAAAAGAAATAAAATCAATATAATAAAAAATATATCAGCATCGACGTATTGTACAGGAGAGCAAAGGGGTACTCATTCACGGTCTCCCAGCTGAAACGATAACCGGTCTGTTCTTGGGCCTCCACTCAGTTCGGCCCCTGACAATCTCAGGCCCGGTCTCTAGGCGCAGCAGATGCTGGCACTCAATGGAGGTTTCTGATGAACCATCGGTGCAGTCAGTTGAGACTGCGGTGAGGGACTGAAGCACACTGCCTCTTCCGCACTCTCTCCTGTACTCCAGTGTCATGCTCGCAAGCTCGCTATTCTCAAAGATGGAGATTGGAGCACCCTGACCACATGAAGAAACTCCTTTAAAACTACTTTATCACTCAGATAAACTGCAATTTACATCACAACCGCCGAAATAATAATGATGAAAGTAATGGTTAATTGCGAATATCTGTACTATGATGGTGTAGCCATTTATACCTCCTAAATTTTTTTATCAGCACTTGCACACCCTGAACCTAAAAAAGTGTTACGTTTTTATAATAAATCTATAGGACTTTCAGATTTCCAGTTGAACTAAAGGGAAAAGGTAGATTATCATTACGTAATTCCCCCATGACATCTCCGCATTACTTGGGAGAGAATGTTGTCTGAGTTCAGAGATGCAAGGGGTAATCAAACAGTATAGGACTAACTACACCCTTCGTAGTACAGAAGGTGTATCTGCAATTAACCAAAAAATAATGATCCAAAATCTTATTATATATAATTTAACTACAGCAACATTATGGCACAGAAAAAACATGAAATTTCGATAAAAAAAACATAAGGGTCGTTTACTGGGATGATGACCCAGCCTAACCTTGCTAAATAATGTGTTGAATCACAATCCGAGTTTTCATCAGAAGGCCAGCATTCTACATATCACTACAGACTAGTAAGGATACGGTTAAGCCCCGTTCCAAATTCATGTCTGCCTATGGGTCCTAGTCTCCTAGACATATTGAATCAGAATCCGAGTTTTCGTTAAAAAGTCAGGATAGTACACACTACTATGGAATTATAAGGATACGCCCCAGTCCAACGACTACACTGACTGCCAAAGAGTCCTAGCCTCCCAGACATGTGGATTTGGCAAAAGTTATGTTGAAAACGCACACAAGGCAAAGTACATGACAACTTAAAAGTTGAACTCTCCTGGCCTGCTGACACTGGGTCATAACAGATGAAAAAAGTGAAACGAGCTTTATCCCTAGAAGAAAATAGATAAGACACTTGGATATGTATTTGTTTTTTTTAATTGATGAAGAAATTTAAGGCGAAGAGAACGTTGTCCGAAAACAGTTCTGTAACACTTCTCGTGTGCCGACTTATAAACAAAAGCTAGGCTCTCTATGAGGTAAGAACAATTGAAGTCCAAAAATACCCCGGACCATTGAGTATGGGCTAGACACCCATTGTTCAAAAACCTCTATGTGGGTATTTCGCCAAACCGGTAACATCTTCAAACTGAAATCGGACAGGTAGATATGTATAAACTGATATATGTCAAAAGGAATTATACTGTTCTTTTTGCACTAAAATTGAGACTAATGAGCCCTGTACATGAACAACCATCAACTTAGATACTATGTATATCATGATGGTCCTTATTTGGACGATAGGGATCTCTACTAAAAAATAGTTTACGTGCACATTAAAAATTGTTTATTAACACAATTGTCATGTAAACCCTATCTTCCAAATAAGGACTGTCCAATTTTCCCTTTTTGATGCATATCTCTCTAGATGTGATCTAGCTCCTCGTACTTAATTGTGTCTACAAGATATGTCTCTGATTTACAATTGCGACCATAATTAAAATTTAAATACTTTTTAGGTGAATAAACATCAGCATAAATACCACAGCTGTATTGTGGGATCCACTAAGTAAACAATACAAATTATTAATGAACATAGACATTCAACATGTTTGCAAATGCATATTTTATCTAGGACAGAAATAGCTTTTGAACAGTTATAGCACTCAAATTACCTCAAGGATCCACCCAATATATTTAACATTGTTGACATGCTGATTGACATCCAAATCACTCCATCGAGGCTGCAAATATGTTCAAAACTAGATTACTATTTTATTTTAGAGAACAAAAACAATAGCAAGAAACCCAGCATAAAATATATAAAATGTCTCATGAGAGTATCAAAACTTCAGGCACAACTTACCATTAGACCCCTAAGAACATGATCTGCAGCATTATCGTTGAGTTTAGGAAGTCTCCCATTGTCCTCATGGATAACAGGACCCCGTTCCATAAAATAGGACTGTATTTCAGTTCTAACTTCCTCAGGGAACTTGGACAGCTTCCTGGTTTGTTTGTTCATCATCACCCAATTACTGAAGAGAATGAAATCATATTACCATATTAGGTACCTCTTTGATATGAAACAAGAGAAAATAAAAGTATTTATGCGTAGAGAGTGAAGATGATAAATTCAGCTGAGTAAAAGCACAGGCAAAATCTGCCAACCTGGTGGCTCTCATGATAGTTTGCCCCGTTTGACGGTTGTGAACATACCAATCCCGGCGCATGCCATTCTTCCCGGCAGAACTAACCCAAGTATCTACTTCAATGACATCTCCCCTGCACAAGTACTGAGAGCATTACTAAAATTAAAATCAAGGATTATTTCAGTCTTCTATCATTACGACATACAAGAGCAAAAAAATTATAAGTAGAGCAATGTTTAGGTATACAAAATTTTATATGATAAATACACCCTTTACGACAGGACACTCAAATCAAGATCAAGTTTTCACAATTTTAAATGCCTTCACAAGCAGGAACCATTCAGAAAGAATTGAAAATTGCTTAAAATTTGACTCAGTGTGATAAAATTCTTTCGGTGGTCACTTACATTACTTTATCACCAAAGACTATTCAGCAGTAAGGCTCATAGTTAAGCAACCAGCAAACATTTAGCATTTTAAGTGGAAAATCAAAGGTGTTCACTATAACCACTTTGTACGGTTCAATGAAGAAACATAATTGCCTCTGGTTGGAGCAACATTTCTGATCATATATCAATCCTGTTGACTGACGGCATGTCTTCTTAATTGTTGTTTGGCTTATGTCATTTAAACCCAAAAATAATAATCTATTACTATTAATAAAGAAAAACCACTCTTTTGGTACTAAATTTTGGTCTCCCCTTGTGTAAGTCACGAATTCAAATAATTCCAACAAATGTCCCCGAAATAAAAAATGGTTTAAAAATTCATCAAAGGTTAAACATGGAAAATGCAAAAGGAAAACCAAATTCCAATTCCCTACAATTACCACCACGTTTCAGTCTTTATCCTACTCTCACGTTAAAATTTAAGCTAAAACATAATGGAGGGATAAGTTGAAAAACTAACAAAAATCCATCAATATCTCTACAAACAATTTTAGGAACGTTGACCCAAAATTTATATCTCAACAAATATTCCAAAAACTCTCCATCCCACAGTCCTTATTATGCCTCCACCATAAGCCATCAACAATTTCAGATACAACTCATATGGAGGGCCATTAACTAATCTTCTTATGTGAAATTTGCAAATTTTAAATTTAATCTTCATAGTTTAGAGATTTTTCGCAGTCCTCATCAAAAAAATTGACCATTTTGTTCAAACTTATTTTTTAGTCCTTTACATTCAAGTATAAAACAATTTTATCATGTTTCTGTAAGTATGGTTTCGTTGCTAATTTTTTGTCATTTGCATGTTCATGCCCCTAAATTACCCAATAAGTTAAGTCATGTTCATTGTTCTTTCTTTTCTCTTTATATCTTTTTAAATATTAAAGTGTTGACTCACGCAATCTGATTAGCACATATGTAGTGTTGGAAATATTTTCTTTGTTCCTGACATTGTTAGTGTCAATTGTCAATTATTAAAATTTGGCTAATAATTCATTTGCACAATATGTATTGTGTCATGCAGGCATCGCATGCACTAGAATTACTAGTAGTAATAATAAGAAGAAAGGCTTCCTATAATCCTATCTACTGATGGGTTATAAGGTTCTAAGTCAAGCTCCTCCAGTTTATAGTTTGCTTGACTAAGAGTCTAGCATGCAAATTCAACAGCTTTATGTGATCTCTGTAAACAACAAATTGAAAACCAGTGTAAATACTACATTAAACATTGCCATCATGGTTGCATTCGCCCTGAGTGTTCCCATATTTTACGAACAGGTTTGGATGATGATAAAAATATGACGACATTAACAACATTGACCAACAAAAAGGAAGACGAAATAAATAACTATGAATTGGAAAAGAAGCATACCAAGAGGGATAACATTCAACAGAAACCTGCATTTTGGTGACAACCCAGATTAGATTTCTTTTACTCATTTCTGGAGTGGAACCAAATCCATCTCCCATGAGCCCAACACACGACGCATGGTTTAAGGCTGTTTCCTGATAAAGCATATAACAGTATGAGAACTGGAGTATACGACACATCATTATACAAGATGTGATCATTGTGAACAGTATCAATCATCCTACCTGTAAATGATTCATTAAAGTCTCTATAGATGCAGTCTTATCCGCCCCAATCTCATACGACCTAATATAAAAGTTCTGCCTGTAAACAAGTCCGTTCTCAATAAGCTTCCCAAGACCAAAAGCATCAGAAATCATGTCAGGCCTCTTGGGTTTCCAATCAAGGAGAGTCCATTGTTTCTCAGCAGCCAAGAAGATGGTGGTGATGGCAGCAAGGAGAACACTCCAGTCTGGTAATTGGTTGTAGAACGTCCTGGGGCCCAAAGAAGGTGAGTCATTCCCGATCTTTGAAGGGTCGGTTTTCAGTCCAACCTTGGTGTCATTGTTCTTGGTGGCAACTTGCGCATTTGCCTTGACCTGTAAACTACCGTTAGATGATGCTGGCTTGGGACCAAAAGAGACTGAAGACGGTTTAGTCGCTGGTGATGTTGATGATGAGGATGATGAGGAAGAGGATGATAGAACTGGAAAGAAGGCCGCTGTAGCTGCGGTAGCTACCATGATTGATCCTATAGGGAACTCAGCACTGCAAAGAAGATACAGAACAAGCTAGTTAGATAGGGATGGGAATCAATTAACTTTTGTGTCTCAATAACAAGGAGGTCAATTTGTAAAAATCATCAAACATCACTTAATTTGGCAATTAATAAATAATCAAATGCAGACAATTCTTCTTCGAGGGTGCACAGACACCAGCAAATACGAAACTGACGCAGCTATATAGAAAAATGTGGTCATGGAAAACAATAAAATTCAAATGAACATGTGCGAATTTGACGAAAATGGCACAGCGATTGAGACAAAACAAAAGGTAACCAACTACTCAAAATCAACTATTGAAAACCAAGAAAGGTAAGAAATTCCAACCAAGAGGACAAATGTTTGTGGTCGAAAGTGACTCGAGCAAAATGATCAAATAATTGAAACTAAACATCGAGACAGCAATCGACTTGAACACCCATAGAAGAGACTCTTAAGAGAACCATAAAGAGTTCCTTTTGATGGTCGGCCAAAACAATAAAAAATTAAACCTAAACATAGATTCAATGAGTTAATTGTGTGACTAGTTGTCAAGAAAACAAAAGATAAAAGAGACGAAATGCGCAGCATCAGAAAACCCGTCGACATCAAAATTTCCAGAAGTAGACAACCACGCTCAATCCCGAAACCTACTTGTTACACCAACATCTACCTAAGTCCAAAATCACACATAAGAAATCCCATTTCCATCACAGTCCTCAAACTAGATCTAATCTAAAACAAAAGCATCTTAATAATGCCGCAAAAATACACAAAATAAATTTTCTAAACCACGTCCAATCGATTCCCAAAAGCACTAAAACCTAGCCAAAATGCAGCAAGATGTGAAATTTAAACCAAAGAAATTAAGTTGGCTCGCATTCTCACCTTTCGACAGGAGAATGAAATCGCCGCCCCAGCTGATCAAAGCTACGGTTTCAGCCTCCCCTTAGGGTTAGGGTTTCGCCCTCCTTCGGATTAGAGATTGAGAATCGAAGGAGAAAGCGCGTTAAGCGAGGAGATTCGTTGGTTTACTTTTGGCTCGAGTAACTCTCGCTATCTCGCTCTCTCGCTCTTTATCTGCGCTGGCCAGCGGCTATTTGTACACCCTTTTGGAAAATCAAAAGACTAAAATACCCTCGTATGGACCGTACCGCTTGAAATGATTGGGGAAGGGGTGGGGGTTGTTTTCGGAAGTACGAGAGCCTACAGCTGGCGGGTAGCGGTTTTGAGACTTGGAGCGTGGGTCCCACCGCGGTAGGGTCCTGGGGATGATTAGCTCGTCAAATTTTGGGGGCGGGCACGTACACGTGGCGGTCGTCATCGGGTGTACTTCGACGTGGCAGTGGAGCCCTTTTACTTCATTCATTACCTTCTTTTTTCCTGCTTATAAATTTCGTATAATTCATGTATAATTGCATCTCGAATCGATTATGATTCAGGTTTACTTATCCGAACGTCAAACTGTAAAGATAATGGTTTTTTTTTAAAAATGGATGCATGTTTAGTTTGGGTAGTACTTGAATCTATGTGCTTATTACAAACCGCGTTCAAAATTTTATAAACTATATATGTAACAGCCATATGCTTTTATTGAAATGAAGTTGGTTGAAGCTTCAGTGAGAGGCTTCAACCTATTTTCTCAAAAAAATAAAAAATAAAACAATAATAAACTATTTAAAAGTGTTTATTATAAATTTATTCCAGTAAATTCACTTTATTTGAGTTAATATGGTTTTGTATTGAATCTTCAGGCATATTTTGATATTCGATAGGGTAAATGTAATATATGTACTCTTAGTTGTTCAGTACGATATAAACTCATAATCTTAGTGTTTTAGGGCATGTTTAGCAACACCATAAAAGCACATTTTAGGTGGTCACAAATCTTATTTTTGGTTTTTAAAAAAATTAAGCCCAAATTTAATTAGTTCTTTCTATTTCAAAATCTAATCACTACACCAATTTTTTTTAAGATCAATTCTTACATGAACTAACTCTAACTTGGAAAAAACCTAGCTAGCATATGCCCAATTCTACCACCTTGAAGTCACCAAACACGCCTTTAAATAATGTTTTGGAATGCATATTCACTACAAAAACATTAGAGAAAATATGTAAATGAATTATTGTTTTATCGCCAAACTTCGTTTTAAAAAAATGCATTGTGTTCGTGCGGAAAGTTCATAGTGAGCCGAGACGTGAGACTGTTATTCTTAAAGGACAAGAACATTACCAATTTCTTAAAATAGAAAGGGGAAAAAAAAGTCAACTTGGGCAGGCGCCTACTTTATCAATGCTGAAATTTTAGGTAAGCAGCAAACGCGGACGAGATCTGTTGGGACTTCAAACAAGTACGTGACAAATTGACTTTTGTCTAGTCGATGGGACTTGGGTAAAATACTGTCTGTTTGTAATACAACGCGAGCAAGTCGCCTACGAAAGTCAAAACAGCAAATAATCCTTTGAGATTTTTTTTGATTGGGCCAGCTGTAATTTTAGTGGGGTTTTGGATTGACAAGCAAAACATGTATAAAGGAAGCACAAGAATAAGCACAACCATATAGGCGGACTCAGAATTTGACTACATTATTAACAATGTAAAGGGACTCAGAATTTGACTACATTGTTAACAACGTAAAAATTTTATACTGTTCTTCAACAAGTTTTTATATATTTTTTTTAAAAAGTAGATAATTGTATCTGTGACACCCCCACACTTTATTCCCATATAGATTAGTGTGAATAAATGTTAGTGGTTTAAATAGAGAAACACTCAGGACCAAAGAACAACTAATACTAGCATTTTGACAGTGGATTGAGCCAACGTTCGAGTTACTCTCGGTGGGTCCCACGGCTTGCACGCGCCAACGGGCTGGTGGGCCCGGAGGGTGACAAATAGTATCAGAGCAGTTGATAGCCAGAATTGGAGCTAAGTGCTATATGAGGCTAACTACTACACCACATGGATACGGTGGAAGCCACCTCTAGAGCTCGTGGGAGCCACCTCTAAAATCCACATCGCATTACAGTGACACTGGAATGTGCCAATTGTCATGTCGTGACGATGAGAACGTCGTCTTTGTAAGGTGGGGTGATTGTGACACCCACACTTAGTTCCACATGGACTAATGTGAAGAAATGTTAGTGATTTGAATAGAGAAAACCCAAGGCCTAAGAGCAATTAGTGCTAGCATTTTGACAATGGATTTTAGCCAACATCGAGTTGCTCTTGATGGGTCCACGGATTGCGCGCGCCAACGGTTCCGTGAGCCCGGGACGTGACAAATGGTATCAGAACAATTACCGGTCGGAAGTGTGGAGTTAACTGCTATACGGGACTAAGTGCTATACCGCGTGGATGCGGTGGGAGCCACCTCTAGAGCCTGTAGGAGCCACCTCTAGGGTCCACATCGCCTGACAAGTGATATTGGGATGTGTCAATTGTCATGTCGAGACGATAAGGACATCATCTTTATAAGGTAGGTGATTGTGACACCCCCACACTTTAGTCCTACGTAGACTAGTGTGAAGAAATACTAGTGGCTTAAATAGAGAAAAGCTCAACACCCAAGAACAACTAGTGCTAGCATTTTGACAGTGGATTGAACCAACGCTCGAGATGCTCTCGGTGGGTTCTACGGCTTGTGAGCGCCAACAAACCCGTGGGCCCGGGGCGTGACAACATTATTAATAACGTCGTTGTTGAGGTGATTAATACGTGAGTATAGTTGCACATCGGATAAGATAAGAAAGAGTGATTAGTTTAAATAAGAGTTTGAGTCAATGTCTGATAACTATAGCTTTTGGCTTAAAATTGTTACTAATCTCGGGTTGCTTGATTCTAACCTTGAATTGCAATATGAGTTTTTTAGTGGGTAAATTTCAGAAAAATACCCTTGCTTTTGTCATTCCTGTGATAAACCCTTTTAACTTTCTAACTGTTATAAGACCCTCCTTAAATTTTGGGATTCTTAGGAAACCCTCTTCAACGCTACATCTTTAAAAAAACCCTAAGATCGTTATCTTCCCATAAATGAGGTTTTGTCTAAAAAATTATCTTTATAGATGAAAAATATGATCTATGCATTTTGGAGGAATTTTGAAAAACAATTAAAGTTGAAAGGCTTTTTTTAATAAAGAAAACACAAACTTAAGACTTAAGAGGGGTTTTGTGAAATGTATCCTTTTACTTCCTAGGGTTTAGTGAGCACTCACAAACGGCTTCTTGTCCAGATTGACCAAAGTGGGGGTGACGTGATCCTACTTCTATCAAGGTGGATCCATAAACATATCTTTCTTAATTAATGATGTCAATGGATGTGTTGTTTTCACATTTTCTTATATTAAGAGGTGAAATATTGAATGTTAACTAAATAAGATGCATCTTATTTATGTGACTAGAAGCTATAGAATTCGGATCCTTTTTCAATTAATTAGATGGTGAATTACTTTAATCTCTAGCCCAAGAGTAAAATTTCAGAAAATGATATACATGCATTACATTGATAGTTACGACAGCCAAAATGTTAGTTTTTTTGTTATAAACATATTTAATATTTCTTTTTTTAAACTTATTCAATAATCACTCACACTTCAACAACACATTCGTTATTCAATAAACATTCAACAACACATTCCAACATTGTTTTTTTTTAAAGCAACACATTCGAACGAGGCATGATAAATTAATATTGAGATGGTTAACTTCATAATTTAAAACAAATTTCATCCAGAAGCTCAATAGCTGATTAAACATTTAAACCCGACAAACAATTTTGTTCCCCTGTTTTTTGATAATAAACCCAGCAAACGAGCAAGTTGTCTTCAATAATAGTAAATATAGTCAATAGTAGCCAGCAATTAAAGACGAAGTAAAATTAGACCCAATTTGTTTGATTACCTTAAATTCCCTGGGCTAGCGAGACACTCCACATGGTTGCGTATTAGTGCAAATAAATTAATATTGAGTCTAACAAAGAGAAGCGTTTCATAAAATATTGAAATCTGCACGAGTCTTATTGATGCAACTATTACATATTCACATGGCTCGGTTTAATTTTATTGGAATTAGGTGGATAGTTGAGTAACGTTGCTTAGTTGACTCAGCTAATTAATTGCGTAAAGGGAGACAACTGCTCAAGTAAAGTCAAGTGAGCGGCATTTGGGCTTTGACGTTTACGTTTATTAATTGCAAATTCTGTTGAATTTGTTAGTTTTGTAAATTAATGAAAGTTGTCAGCCATTACGTAATGAATAAAATAATATTAGTAGACCAAATATTCTTTAGACTCACACGATACGATCGTGGTTTTTGAGAAATTGTGTAGAGATCCAGAAGACAATAAAGATAAATCATTGCATAATGAAGGATTTATTGATTCTCGGGTACAAGCAACGCCTGCAAGCACACATCACTAGTAAAAAATAGAGTATTGGTGACGGGTATTGGCGACGGATTTAGAATCCGTCGTCAATACAAACATTAGCGACGGAAAATTACCCGTCACCAATAACCCGTCATCAATACAAACATTAGCGACGGGTAATGGCCATCACCAATGTTTTGCCGTCGCCAATCTTTTCAAGAAAATGAGGCGAGAACCCAACTATTAGCAACGGGAAAACATTGGTGACGGTCATTACCCGTCGCCAATGTTTGTATTGGTGACGGGTTATTGGCGTCGCCAATGTTTTCCGTCGCCAATACTTATTGGCGACGAACCGCGTCCGTCACTAATGTTCTCCCATCGCCAATAAGTATTAGCGATGGGATCTGTATGTCGCCAATGTTCGTATTGGCGACGGGTTGCTGGCATCCTCAATGTTTCTCCGTNTTCTTCATCGCTAATACTTATTGGCGACGAACCGCGTTTGTCACCAATGTTCTCCCATCATCAATAAGTATTAGCAACGGGATTTGTACGTCGCCAATACTTATTGGCGATAGATGGTATTTCCGTCGCCAATAAGTATTGGCGACGGTTGCCCATCCGTCTCAAATGATCTTAACTTTTAGATTGTAATGATACGTACATCTTCTTAATGTTCCATACTTA